GCTGTTTTACCAGGCCTGGATCAGGTGGATGTTGCCACTATTCTGTGGACTCACTTCAACAAAGTGGCAACTTCCACAGGGCCAATTGTGATGGGAGGCTTAATCACACATTTGCCCACACTATATGGTTTTGTAGACCCTGGCCCCATTACCACAAAACAGCTTGTCTGCACAAAATGGCTTATGGAGAATACCAAAGATGTAAAATTTTCTCACACAACACCCGGGGGGGGGGGGGGGGGGGGGGGGTTAACTTCTACAATTGGTTAATCGACTCACCCGAAGACATCTTTTTTCGATTACCCCCACTTGAACTCCCCTTGGACCTTTTGAATCACCAAATCGGTGATGGGCATCATTATTGTCTCCCCGGTAGAATACCACCCCATTATCAACAACAGGAACCTCATCATGATCAAGCCGCACTTGAACCTCCACCCCTCATACCCAAACAACCCCAACCACAACCCCAGCCACACCTCAATGCTCACCAATTTTCACCATTTGAGCAAGAACTGTTCAATAGCATGGCTGCCCTCAACCTCAACTATACAAACCTTCGCGAAGATGTTGGACTATATAGAATTGAACAACAACAGAAGTTCGAGAGGATAGAGGAGCAGAGACTAAGAGATTGGCAGCGGTATGAGGAGGACCGACAAAGAGACCAAGAAGACATGAGGAGGACTTATGGCCCTATCTACTCCTACATAGCACATCAGGGTGATTCTGCATCTATGACCACCCCTCCTCCTGCACCCTCTTGGTATAATCCCACTTAATGGGGTTATTTTGGTGGTCCAAGTCCCGGTGATGGAAGCGAGCACATGGATGAGGATACACCTTACGGGGGCTATCATAGCTATGGAGGATTCTATGATGGCGGCGATGCGGGCGGGCACTAGGGACAGTGCCAGATCCTAAGTGTGGGGGTGCAAAGATTGTTCTGGTATGCTCACAATCCTACTCTTTTTCATTTTAATGGGAGGAGGGTCCCTTTACCTATCATGTGTCTCTTACATCCCCTCACACATCACACATCTCACTTTCATGATCTCAACACTTATTTTTAGACTAAAAATCGTGGGGTGGCCCCCACTCATGTGGGAGGTCATTCCTATATGTCCTGAAATGTACAATCGGTCCCGAAAGTTGTATTTTTGGGATCGTTTTAATTAAAATTTATTTTATTGGGCCAAATAAAATATATATCATTCTTCCAATTAATATTGGACCTAGAATGAATATACTATTATCCAACTTTAATTTCGTGGTTCTCGAAACTTATTTTGGGTTGTGATCTATTAAATAACTAATACTGGTAATGGGACTTCGTTTGCTCAATAGGCCAACTCTAGGGCTCAACATTAAATTATACGATCATATTAATATTATCCATACCAAGATGACTATAATATGTGGTCTGTAGATATAAGATGGTCCCTGCCCATGTGTGGGTCCGACGTGCATTTTACTGTACAAATAACAGTAAAAATGAGAATGCGTTGCCTCGAAAATTCACTCGTCATTTCTCATGACGTAATATGTGGTTTTATATTTTGTGAAACTTTAATAAAATGTTACACTTCCTTTTTACGTTGTCCGATATGTATGAACAGATAAAATCGCATCTCTTTGTTTGATATGCACTAATTAGTAGTGCATAAATGTATGTTTTTATGTTTGATTGATGTGTATTGTTTATCGTTTTATTTAGTTTGTAAATGATCGACTGAAACTTGCAAGTGTACAAGTGCCAATGTAGTAATAAATTCCGGTAAAAATACCGGGTCGAACACAAGGAAACGTTGTTTATATGATTCAAAAGTGAAAGCGGTTTAGTACAAGAATTAAGAAAAGAGTAAAGCTTTTTTATTTTTTTTAAGAGATAATAAAAGCAACCAAGGGTTCGGGATTACTCCTAAACGACTCCTAGTGATGAATATATGTTCTTTCGCCAATTCTTATGAGTGGAATGTCACTAAAGTATTCTAACTCCTGTTACGGCAGCGAGATTGTGATTAATTCTACGTGTGAATCCCGTCACGGTTCACATTCATCTAAAATTAACCCCATTGAAGATTACGACATTATAAAAATCACCATACTCAATTGAGGTATATTTCTATCCACAATTAGAATATGTTTAACCTTTAAGTGCACGGTTTATAACTCAACGTTAATTGCTCAAATAAACCCAACGATGTAATCATACGTTGTACACCGTAGTCATACACATTAAAATATAAAGGAAAGATCATAATAATTTGGTTGAGAACATACATCAAACATCTAGAGTGCGTAAAGTTTCATCCCTAACCTTGGCTATAGAAAATTAGCTAGAACAATTCATAATAAAATTACAAGTAATGAAATGATAAAATACAATGAAATACATAAGAAAATGATACCACAACTCCAAAGCTATGGTGGATAAAGCTTTCCCCAAGTGTAGAACTTCTCCCAAGACCAAGGGGTTGCTCTTGGGATGCCAAAGTAGAAGTAAAGTGTGTAGAATATGGAATAATCTCTTGAGAGGGCTTCAATCCTCTTAAATATTGAGTTCTCAACGGCCATTTTCGGACAAGGAAGCAAGCGCCTTAATGGGATTTGGTGTTTTACCCGAATGATTGTGATGACCGTTGCTTGTTTTAATCAGCTCCAGGCAAAAGGCGGGCGACTTTAGCAAAAGCCGGGCGGCTTTTGCGAGTTTAAAACAGGCTTCTCCGCTCCGGGGACCGAAAGCCGGGCGGCTTTCGCCCAAAGCCGGGCGGCTTTTGGTTCGGTTTGCTGAATATTTTCCACGGCGCCCAAATCCGGGCGCCTTTCATGAAAGCCGGGCGGCTTTCGTCTGTTTTGCTCCGGGTGCTTTTCCTTCATCTTCGGACGGCAACTGGATGGCTGGTTGGTGAAAACCGGCCGGTTTTGGTGAAAGCCGGGCGGCTTTCACCCCTTTGGTGTATTTTCCCCTTTTTTTCTTTTGTTCTCGGGATGCGTTTGGTTGACCTTTACTTGTCGGGATTCTTCGTGTGTCTTTTCATCCTCGTATTTGATCCAATTGTTGGTTATAGTATTTCTTGCAAAACGAGACATATGTGTGAGAGTTTTATTCTTTTAAGTATAAAAGAGTTTATAAATTGTTGTATAAATTACGTTAATAAAACGCTTATCAGTAAACATTTGTGTAATTTTAGTTGTAATTGTATTTTAATCTTCATTTGTAAGTTGTAAAGTAGAATTAGGAATTATGTTGTTGAAAAGGATGACTTAGAAGTGGAGAAAAAGGAGGTTTTACTGCCCAGGAGCAAATACCCGACCGGGTAGAAGACTTCACCCGGTCGGGTCTGATTCAACAAACGAAAATACCTGGAAAGTGCACTCACCCAGTCGGGTCCCCTACCCCACCTGGTCGGGTCTGACTTGACCCAGGACACTTTAACATGCCGAAGATCACCAGAACGTGGAGAATATTTGATTTTGACATGCACCCGGTCGGGTGGGCACTTTACCCGGTCGGGTACCCGGCCAAAGGTGTTGTAAAACACCTATAAATAGCCCCATTTTGCTTCACTTTGAGAAATCCCTTCTTCCATACTCCTAAGCTCAGTTTAGAATAGCATTTCTTATATTTTTATAGCATGTTTAGTCTCCAAATGAGGAGCTAAACCCTTCCATCTTGGTTTTGCTATTTTGAAGCTTAATGAATTTGTAAGTTGTGAGTTATTTTCTTTAATCTTCTTCCTTGAATATTAATTCTTCCTTTCAAATACTATTTCTATATCAAAGTTGGGGAGTGTTACTAAGATGACAATTAGTTAACATCTTGAAATTGGTTATAGAAATAGTTATTTCTTCCTCTATGTTAATATTGGGGAGTGTTACTAAGATGACAATTAGTTAACATCTTGATGTTAATCATAGTAGGATTCATATTCTTTAATATTCTTCCTTGACTATTAATTAATTTCTATTCATATTTCATGTTAATATTTTAAACATTACTTAAAGTATCAACTAGTTTTGTTTCTCATATTAATTATTACTAGAATCAATCGGTTAATACGCTTGTTATTAATCTGGTTCTTTCAACGGCAGTAAACTTGGAATATTAATGCATGCATCTCATGGTTAATATGCCAAGGGGAATTAATTATATCGATTAAACCAATAAACCGCTTGTGTTGAGGTTATCAATCTCAATCGTTTTCATCTTAAGTTTATTGCTACCATCTAGTTAATATACGGCGCTTGTTCTATATTGACTCGAAAGTAAGTTTTATTAATGAACGCATCTCGTTATTAATAACTACCCTCGATGAACTGGATATACTCCTCGATTGAGTATTCGAGAGGAAGATAGTTAAAGATATAACTATCAAATCAAGCCTCCACATCTATTAATTAAACTCATATAGGTTGTTTATCTTAGTGTTAATTGAATTAAATCAAATCAAACATTAAAACCCCCTTTATTACTATTTATACAGAAGAACAGTCGTTCCTTTCCCTGTGGATACGAACCTTACTTCATTATACTACGTATAATCGTTGTATTGTAATTATTTTGAGTGCACCTCACGACAAAGTGCACGTCAGTGTTCCTATATCAAAATATCTTGAAGGTAGGGTCCTTCAAAAGTACCCTCCTTTAACATACTAATTCAATCATATCTTTATCATCCCATTACTTTGGGTTTTTAAAATATTTATATTTCTTCTGTTTATAAATTCGTAGTCCTGCGAATTATTAACAGCCCGATAATTAAGGACTCCCCATTATTGAATAGTGGATCTGGCCCGCTCGGCCGTCCAGTTGTCTCTCTTTATATCACTGGGGTCCACCACCCATTCCTACTAGCATAATAGTATCATTAGATCAACATTAATATCTTATACACTAGAAATACCACAGGTGGTCCGCGCTCCCGATGTGGATCTCGCGTTTGATTAATAATCCTTTATTAATTTAATACAAGAATTTTATCTTTCTCATTTATCAAGGCAACTCTAGTCTTGATTTACCTTCTTTAATCATGTACTTGATGAAAAAAAAAATCTCTGGGTAAAATTCGGATCCGGTGTTACAAGTTCACCCCCCTTACGGGAATTTTGTCCCCGAAATTAACGTGTGAAAGTTGAGAAACTTTTTTTTCTCTCTTCATTATCTGAAGCTAACAATTTCGAACATAAAAATATTTATGAAATTTTAAGTTTCAAATAAAAATACCTTATGCCATAGGTGTTCCCTGAAATGGCCTCTGTCATTTATCGCCTTCACGAGCGAGTTCTCCACCGATTGGTGGATGATAAAATGTTTGAAGCAACCCCTGTTGGGTTTGCAATGTCCGTGACTCCTCTGTGGGCCCCCAATTCTCCTCCTCGTACATGTTGAGGACAAAGAGTCTTTATGTGACCCGTTTCCCCACAAAAGTAGCATCTAGATGGTTCTAGACATATCCCGTAGTGCTTCCGCCTACAATTCTCACATTTGGATGCTCCCGTGGCCTGAGTGCTTGAGCTTTGACTTACCCAGTCCTGGCTCTCACTTAAACACGCAGCTGACTTGTTAGAGTCCCCCTTGCTTTGAAAGTCATACTTTCTCTCTCGTCGTGGAGGATGATTGACCACCTGATCCCTTTCTTGTGCTTCCTTAGCACCCCTTGCTTGCCTTTCCCCCAAAGCTCCTCCCTCTGGAGACCCTGGGCTACTACCTGACTGAATGTCATGTTGAATTGATAGGTCGCCCTTTCGCGTACCTCGAAATTTAGTGCGTTCCAAAAATGGTTCGCCATTCGATCCTCATTGACGGCATATTCAGACAAGAACCTTGTCAAATGCCGGAACCTTTGTTCCAATTGCTTCACCGTAAACTCATTTGCCTGTTTGAGATTGGTATATTCCCTCCTCTTTCGATTTACTTCGAAAGAGGTATAAAAATGTTCATAGAATGATTGCTCGAAGTTGTCCCACGCGACAACCCTGTCAAACTTACCCTTGATGCCTTCCCACCAAGTAGAAGCTAAACCTTCCAACAATCTAGTGGCTACCATTAACTTCCGATCAGGAACCACTTGCATGTCATCGGCTGCATCATTTAACCTTTTTATCCACGCGGCTGCTTTCGAGATATCCCCCGTCCCATCAAACGGTTTGCACCCCAAGACCCTAGCCTCTTTGAGGTACTTTTAGATCTTAATGAATGGTTCTTCACCATCAGAATCTTTGACAGTCCTAACATGTGCTCTATGAGCACCCCGACCCCTACTGTGAGAGGTCTCATGTGTGACATGTCCCACCTGGGATCTTTGTCGTTGTCTTTCCCTTTCACGTTGGTACCATCAGTACATCTCACTAATCTGGTCAGGAGGAATACTACGTATATCCGCCCCATCGTTTTCTTCAAAAGAAGTTTCATCTGACTCATTTTAAGGGTGATAAGTTTAGTCATCCTCCGAGTTCCACGACTCGAATCCAGTCATCATGCGATCAGCCATGGAAGCTCGTGTTTGTTGGCCTTGATGGCCCCTACCTTACCTTTTAGGTGACCTTGATATTCCCCGATTGGCTTTCCCGACTATTCCCGGTGTGTGCCCTCTCGGTTTACCTCAAACCGCCCTATCGCTACCACTCATTCCTGAAAGAATATATTGGAATGAGTCTTTGGACTCGTTTGAATGTCAATTGAGAGAAACGTACTCAAGACACAACTTGGCTCAAGTCATTGCCATACCAATTGTTAAGGGGTCAATATTAACAACCAGAGACCCTGGAACTCGATAACCAAATGCTCTTAAAGTACAAAATTTATGCTCATGGATTTTCATTGAAAGATTCTTTTGACAGAAACTTTGTTGAGAGGTTGACTATATAGTTTAGTAACCGTATGGCTCTGATACCACTTAATTGTCATGCCCCAGACCGCGTCTGTGCCACGTAGACAACCGTCGTACAACCCAATAAGAATAATCGCAATTCATCCTTACTAAATTGCACAAGACATCCGATAGATACATATGCCAAAACCGATTAGTAAACATACATAACAACATCAACATACAATTAAACACATAGTGGAATATAAGTGTTTAATAAGAACCCACACAAGGGTAAAACTATAGCTCGCAGGCTCCATTAATTTATAAGTCAAAAATAGTTCCATGAACAATATTTATTTGTTTAGAAGTTGAATCGGAGGAAGCACGAACGACGTCTTCTCTCCATCGATCTCCCAAACAACGGGTGCAGGAAGTAAGCTCTAGCTTCAACCTGAAAGGGTGGTTCCCCCGAGGGATCAGTACTACAGAAAAGTGTTGGTGAGGGCAAACTGTATGTAATATAACTAACGTTTGTCACATGGGACCCTCAACATAGGGTGATAGTATATGTATAGGCAACTCTTGGCTACCACTTTTCAAAACATATTGTATACATATATACATAAGAGTAAAATATTCGGCTCGTGGTCCCATTTGTCTTTCAAATCATTTAGGCATAACAGCCCCATTAAATTCACCTTTCTCATGTCTAATTACCCTCAGGTGGGGTCACTCGCAGGCTAACCCACCCGATCTCACAATAAAAATACTCGTGGGTGGCCCTTTGGACACCCAAATCACGAACATCCTTTATATCACTCCCTAACCCAAGGAAATATTGTATCGGGAACTCGTTCCCGACCAAACATATTCATTCAATCATTTAAAGTTATTACCCTGATGTTCACCTACCTCGAGTACTACTCGTTCTTACTATTATACTTTACATTCCCGGGGTTAACCCCGTCTTGAGGAGTACGCATACACCCTCGTCCTACGTGTAATTTGCTGGAGGTTAACACACCTCAAGGACTACACGCGCCCTTTTTACTTATATGCAATTTGATGGAGGATACCACACCTCAAGGATTGCATTTTCCCTTGTTACCTATGTGTAATTTGCTGGAGGTTAACACACCTCAAGGACTACACGAGCCCTTGTTAACATTTGAGTATTAAGGACTCCTCCTTGTCCTACAAAGTATTACCTGACCTTACTCGGTCCCAGGTATTCACTCGCCATGTATAATCTATCACTTACCTCGCCCGATCGTGGTCTATAATTTCTTTACTAACGACCAATCCAAGTCTTAGCGTTTAAACCATATTCCAAGCCTTAGCATTTTAGGCAACATATTTCATGCAATTCCATGTAAAATATTCATATATAGGATGGCATGGATTAATCCCACGTCGAACCGGGTCCGATTTGGGTTTTTAGCAAAAACTGGTCCCCAAAGCCGAGACCGGACCAGCGCCGGTTCACTGAGTGACCGGCGCCGGTTCGCTAATTTAAATTTAAAACTGGCACGTTGTACTCAAACCGGCTCCGATTCATTACCTGACCGGCGCCGGACCCATGTGTTGGACCCGGTCAACACCTCGTTGACCGGCCGAAACGACTCTGATTTCTCTGAAACTTAAATACAACATGTATTAAGTCATAAACAATCATTATATGTCATTTTGGACACTCAAAACATTTCTTATGTTTTTATAATATTTCAATTCATTTTCATGTATTATGCTCTAGTTTATTTCTCATAAACTAGATTACTTTCATAACTTGCATGATTATGCACTTTTAATTCTTCTCAAGAATACCATCTTGAATCCCCTTTATTCATTTCATAAAATGAGCCATTGATGGTCATCATCCAATTGGAATATAATATTATATTCACTAAAATTATTAATCGGGTCGTTTATACTAGTTAATCATTCTTGTATATTACTCTAGTTTATTTCTCATAAACTAGATTATCTTAGTAGCACGTGTAGTTAAGAATTTCTTAATTCTTCATAAGAATATTACTTGAATTTCTTTGGTCATTTCTCAAATGAGCCAACAAAACATTTATATTAATTAATTACAGCTTGTATATTTTCCTAGTTAATTTCTCATAAACTAGTTTTACTTTAGTGACTTGCATGATTTAATACTTGAATCCTTCACAAGAATACCATCTTGAATTTCCTTAGTCATTTTCTCAAATAATCATTCATGATTATTCTTCATCAAGAATATTAATTATTCTTTACTCATTAGTTAATCATGCCACTTTCACTTAATTTATTATCAATGTTGTTAATCATGTGTTTAAACACTTTTAAACATTTCTATACATATTCACATACTAGATTACTCTAGTTGTCTCATACATAGTCCATGTATGCATTTTTATACCTCCGACGACTTTTGGAATTTTCCGACGAAAACTCTGGTGGCTCCGGCGTCTTTTCCAGCGACTCCTAAATTCTTTGAGAAGTCTATAATACCTTGGTAAAATTCCTAACAAGGTTTCATAAACCAAAAGTGGTATAAATATCAAAACCTTCCGAGAAGGTGTTTACCGGCGAACCGGTCTTACTCCGATCATAGCTCCGTTCATGGTTAAAAATAACCTTCCAACCCCTCATTCTACACCTCAAGGAGTGTAGAACAAGCTTATGGTCTATCATATGATTTATAAAATCATATGAGATTAAAATGGAGGAGGAAAAATACTAATGAAATCATTACCTCGATTTTCCCAAGTTTTTCGTCACTTATACTAGCTTTTCTTCTTCCTTGAGCCACCTCTAACCTTGAGCTCGGTTCTTGGACATGGAGATGAGATGTTGGAGACTTCCCCTCTCCTTTTTGGGTGGTATGGCCGAAGTGGATAGGGGAGAGATGGAGGAGCCCTTCCTCTTTCGTCTTACATGCCATTATAATGGGAGGAGGGTCCCTTTACCTATCATGTGTGTCTCTCACATCCCCTCACACATCACACACCTCACTCTCATGATCTCAACACTTATTTTTACTCAAATCGTGGGTGGACCCCACTCATGTGGGAGGTCATCCTTATATGTCCCGAAATGTACAATCGGTCCGAAAGTTGTATTTTTCGGACTGTTTTAATTAAATTTTATTTTATCAGGCCAAATAAAATATATAGCATTCTTCCATTTAATATTGACCCCTATAATGAATATACTGTTATCCAACTTTAATTTCGTGGTTCTCGGAACTTATTTCGGGTTGTTATCTGTTAAATAACTAATACTGGTAATGGGACTTCGTTTGCTCAATAGGCCAACTCTAGGGCTCAACATTAAAATATCTTGAAGGTAGGGTCATTCAAAAGTACCCTTCTTTAACATACTAATTTAATCATATCTTTATCATCCCATTATTTTGGGTTTTTAAAATATTTATATTTCTTCTGTTTATAAATTTGTAGTCCTGCGAATTATTAACAGCCCAATAATTAAGGACTCCCCATTATTGAATAGTGGACCTGGCCCGCTCGGCCATCCAGTTGCCGCTCTTTATATCACTGGGGTCCACCACCCATTCCTACTATCATAATAGTATCATTTAGATCAACATTAATATCTTATACACTATAAATACCACAGGTGGTCCCCACTCCGGATGTGGGTCTCGCGTCTGATTAATAATCCTTTATTAATTTAAGACAAGAATTTTATCTTTCTCATTTATCAGGGCTCCTCTAGTCTTGATTTACCTTCTTTACCCATGTACTTGATGAAAAAAAATTCTCTGGGTAAAATTCGGTTTCGGTGTTACAACACCCTCCTCCTTTATCCTGGCTTGGGACAGGCATGATACCAAAAAAAATGATATCATGACGGAGTTTAAAGACTAATTAAATATGCACATAAAAATAAACTAATAAATAAACAACCATGTAACGAACCCCATGGATGATTGAAAGTAAATTAAGTAATACATATAAAATGTCCCAATAAACTTCACTCTTAAGTAATCAAGTATATATCCTGTAATAAATTCATGAGGAAATTGATTGTGCTCTTGCACTTAATCAAACTAGAAAAGAGGAAAAGATCTAAAGAGCTAAAAAAAAGGGGAAATAATGTAACTGTAAAGTAAATGAAAAAAAATATGAACCATCACTGTGTTCTGACGTGCACTTTGTCGTGATGGACACTCAAAATAATATATATAATACAACACTTATATGTAGTATGGTGTAGTAAGGTTCGTATCCACGGGAAAGGAATACTTTTCTTTTACGTAACTAGTAACAAGGGGTTTTTGATTGATTGACGAACTTTATATGTATTTAAAACATTAAGATCGATGAACGACTTATGTGTTTTACTTAATTGAGATGAAGACTTGACTTTGCTTTTATCCACTTAGTGAAATATTCGTCGATCCCGGATTCCCGGTTATATCTTTAACTATCTTCCTCTCGAATACTCAATCGAGGAGTATCTCCATTTCATTGAGGGTAGTTATTAATAACGAGACACGTTCATTAATAAAACTTACTACCGAGTCAATATAGAACACACGCCGTATATTAACCTGATAGTAGCAATAAACTTAAGATGAAAACAATTGAGATTGATAACCTCAACGTAAGCGGTTTATTGGTGTAATCAATATAATTAATTCCCTTTAGATTATTAATCATGAGACGCATGCATTAATAATCCAAGTTTACTACCGTAGAAAGAACTGAATTAATAACAAGCGTATTAATCGATAAATTCTAGTAATAGTTAATATATGAAACAGAACTAGTTGATCCTTTAAGTAATGTTCAAAATATTAATATGAAATATGAATAAGAATTAATTAATATTCGAGGAAGAAGATTAAAGAAAAATAACTTACAATTCATTAAGCTTCAAAGTAGCAAAACCAAGATGGAAGAGTTGAGCTCTTCATTTGGAGACTAAACATGATGAAAATATAAAGAAAGAACTAATCTAGACTGAGCTTAGAAGTATATAGAAGAAGGAATGAATTTTTGTGAAGCAAAATGGTGCTATTTATAGGTGTTTTCAATACCTTTGGCCGGATACCCGACCGAGTATTTGACATACTCGACCGGGTATTTGCCAAATCAAATATTTTCCCACGTCTTTGAGTTCTTCTGCACGTCTTTATGTCTGAAATCACTTCATACCCGACCGGGTATATGGAATACCCGACCGGGTATTTGATTTAATTTCCCAGAAGCTTCCTCTTTCACTTCATACCCGGCCGGGTAAAGGCCATACCCGATCGGGTTTTGCACAAAACTCAGGTTTCTTCATCCTTTTTGCTTCCAAACATATCCTAAACATATAGCTCAACTAGCTACAACATACAACAAACAATAAAATCCTAGAAATACAATTACAATCAAATGCAAACTAACAACTACAAACTTGCACAAAACTAGTAAATAAACATTACAAACAATAATAAAAATGTATACTTAAGCACTAACAACTAGTGCCTATCAAACACCCCCACACTTGAACCTTTACTCGTCTCGAGTAAATTAAAACCTGCACATGAAGTTTTTAAAACCACAAGAGTAGCAAAACAACCATCCAACAGTTTTTTTAGACAAATCATAAAAAAGCCCCTGTAATAAAAGGGGTCTTCAACTCCATGCCTTCATCTTTCCTTTCTCATTATCCTCCTGCATAAATAGATATTTTTCTCTCATTCTCTCATTTTGCCTAGCAGCCTTTTCAGGTGTTCATCCTAGCCTCTCTTTTTATTTTTCGTTTCTCACAACTCATTCATCTAAGCCACTTTTGCTTAGATTGCCCATTTTTTCCGGGTTTTCAACCTAACTAGCATTTTTTTTCTTTTATTGTAATTTTTTTTCATTTTTTTTTGAAGAAAACTAATGCAAGTTACAAGGTTAAAAAAATGAGTACATACCAAATGAGTGCCTCCCCTACATTTTTTTTTCGAAAAACTGTCCTTAGTGTTCAGCACCATGATCGTTGTCGTACCCTCTATAATTGTCATCGCCACCAAGACCATGTTCACCGGAGCTAGAACCTCCCAATCACCCTAATATGAGGGATAATACCACATCGGGTGTTGTACTAGGTGGGCATGTTGAAGAAGTACCCTTGGTGGTCGAAGATATGTGTTCTTGTTGGTGCCTTTTTTCGTTTTTTTAGTGAATTTCAAACTTGAGCTTGGGGGCTTAGGGAATTCGGTTTGTAGGGTATTTTGGGGATTTTGTGGGTTTTGTGTGTGTGGGTTTGGAAAGTAGGATGAGGAGAAAAAGAAATGGCATTTTGTTTTGGAGGTTTTGGGATTGGAGAGGATGATGTGGATAAGAAGAATGTGGGGTTAATTTGGATGTTTTGGTTGAGATTGGAGTGGTTCGAAGCTTGGATGATTGTCAATGGAGGTTGGGGAGGTCTGTTGCTTGAGACTTTTGAGGAAGATGGTGATGTCGAACTGAATTTTGGGGTTAAAATCCCCCTTTTCTCGATTACTCGGCCGGGTATTCTTAATACCTGAATGGGTATACTGATTTTTGCTTGGTAATGTTTTTAAGCCTAATACCTGGTCGGGTTTGTGTGATACCCGGTCGGGAATCAGGTATTTTGTGCTTTTCCTCAGTTTTTCTCTTTGCTCGGTCGGTTTTGATGACATACCCGAATGTGTAAGCGTTCCAGGGGCTCCGGAGACGAATATTAGTAAAAACCCGGCCGAGTTTCTTGCATACCCGGTCGGGTTTTAGCTAATTTTTATTTTTTCAAAATTTTACCCGGATGGGGTTTTGCGTTTTTGTGCAGCACACCCGACCGGGTTTGGCGTATACCCGTCCGGGTTTTGTCCAGTTTCAGTTCAAAAACATTTTTTTTAAAGTGCAAAGTTCACATAAAATAAGATAAGTAGATGTACCTTGCATGGGTTGCCTCCGAAGAAGCGCCTCATTTACCATCGCGGCACGACGCCATCATTTTGTTCAAACGTTTAAGCTTGGATCGTGATAATTCATCTTCTTCACATTTTTACTTGTTGCACTTTCGTAGAAATGCTCAAATTTCCAACCCTTCACTTTGAAAATCATTCCAGGATCAAATATCCAAATTTCCATTGAATCATGTGGTGAGAGTAAGGGAAAGAAATTATTGTTTAGCATGGTCAATAGAAAGTGTTTCGATTCCTTAATTTTGATGAAGATTTCAAAGCTACAATGTTCTTTTCAATTTTATGAGTTTCTCCTAAAGTTTTTAGAACTGTTGGGGGTACCTCAAAGGATGATAAGGATAGATATTTGACCTTGAAACTCGGTTCAACCTCTTCTTTGACCAGCTGGAGCTTCATGTCTCTTTCTTCTTCTACTTCTTCTGGATTTTGGGTCTCCTTTTGCATTTCCTTCTCATTTGTCAATGTGATTGCAAAAGTTTGTTGTTTAGGATCACATTCTATTTGAGAGAGAAATTTTCCCGAATCTCTTGCTTCAAGCCTACTTTGAAAGCTTCGGCTGTTTGACTCATTTGAGTTTCTAAGTTTAAAATGTTAGACTTGGTCTCATTTTGAAATTGCACCATGTTGTTTTGCATGGTGGTCATGTTGGAAGCAATAGACCGAACCATATCCTCCGTAGACATGTTATAGTTGGAGAACGTGAGGTATTTTCCTTTGGAAACAAACATAATCAAGTTGTTCAAGGTATTCTTCTTGGAGCTTTGGACAAAAATCCGTAAGATGTCTGTGAGACATTCAAATGTTGCAAGTCTTGACATCTCGAGCTTCTGAGCATAAGATAGACTCCTTTATTAGAGAAGCCAAGACGGAAAGTTGACTCTCTAAGGATGTTGTGTTGGTATCCATATACTCATGTAAGCTCAGAAAATAGAAAAGTACGTTTTTTTTTAATATGTTTTTTTGAAAAAAAATAAAAAGAAAAATAATTGCCTTTCCCCGGCAACGGCACCAAATTTGACGTGCACTTTGTCGTGGTGTGCACTCAAAATAATAAATACAATACAACACTTATATGTAGTATGGTGTAGTAAGGTTCGTATCCACATGGAAAGGAATACTTTTCTTTTACGTAACTAGTAACAAGGGGGGTTTTGATTGATTATTGACGAACTTTAAATGTATTTAAAACACTAAGATGAACGATGATGGGCACTTTGTCACGGTGTGTCAAAATAAATCGATACTAACACTTATACGTAGTATAGGTGAAGTAGAGTTTGTATCCACAGGGAAAGGAATAATTCTATTTTTATAAAACTATGTAAATAAAGGGGGGGATTTGGATTGAATGATTTAATTTAATTAAAAACTAAGATGAATGACTTATATGAGATTTAATTCAAGGATAAAAGGGACTTGGCCTTGCTACTTTCCACTTGTTGATATATTTTAGTCGATCATTGTTATATCTATAACTTATCCCCTCTCGAATACTCAATCGAGGAGTATATCCAATTCATCGAGGGTAGTTATTAACAACGACCGTTCATTAATAACCCTTACTGTTAATCAACTATAGAACAGCGCCTTATACCGATTTAATAGTAACATTTAATCTTTCTAACTCCTTGATGAAATCAATTGAGATTGATAACCTTAACACAACGGTTTCGGTTTAACCAACAAAATTGATCCCTCTCAAGTTTATTAACCACAACCGTGCATTAATAAACCGAAGTTACTTACTTGTGAAACTATCAACGATTAACCATCGGTTCGTTGATCGTTTCTAGTAGTAAGTAATGTCGGAACGTTAACTAATCGTCACTTAGCAACCCTCCAACATTAATATGGAATGAGATTAAGGGAAGAATTAATAATCAAGAGAAGAAGTTAAGAAAATAACTCACAACTTTAATAATCAACAAGCTTCAAGAGCAAAACCAAGAAATGGAAGTTTAGCTCCGCATTTGGAGACTAAACATAGCTAGAAAAATATAAAGAAATGTTATTCTAAACTGAGCTTAAGAGTATATGTGAATTGGTAATGAAATGGGAAGGGAAAGGGGTGTATTTATAGGTGTTTCTTGAGTAAGTGCCCGGAATCTTCATTAGTCACATCTACCCGATCGGGTTTTTGATTTACCCGGTCGGGTAAAAGACAAATCTTTGCCAAATCTTCGCCCTGCACATTTAATTGCCTCCAAATCAAAATTTGATCTTTGGGTCAAGTCAAACCCGATCGGGTTTTTGGAAAACCCGGTCGGGTTTTTGACTATTTTCCTAAATTTCCACTTTCTCTTGTCCCCTTTGCACTTTCCTTGACTTTTCCGGGATCCTTTTGATGATCTTTACCTAGTTTAAGCTCAGAAAATCCCAAATCTAAACAAATTACAACTATTTTACAAACGAAACTATTACACCAAAAGTGTGTAATTTCCAAAGCAACAATCAATCAAAACTAATTAAAAATACAAACATAAACATGGAAATTACATGAATGTCAACTCCCCCACACTTAGTTTCTTTACTCGACATCGAGTAAAGCCAAATGTTTGCACAAGTGTCAACAAAAGATCATAAGTTCAAGAATAGCAAGAAAGAACATAAGACCACCAAGGGTTGCAAATGAGTTACAAAACAACATTTTCTTGGGTTTTTTGGTCTTCTATGCTCTTTGTTTCTTTTTCTCCCTCTTCTCTTTCTCCTTTTTCTTCTTCTTTCTCCAAGAGTTGATATTCTGCAAAAAGTACACATTTCTCTCATATCTCTCGTTTTGTCTAGGAGCCTTTTCAGATTTTCATCCTAGCATCTCTTTAATTTTTCCTTCCTTACCACTCACTCATCATTTTTTATTAAATCCCTTTTTGCTTAGATTGCCCGTTTTTGGGTTTTCAATCTAACTCACTTTTTTTTTAAGAAAATAATGCAAGTTATCATGGTAGAAAATGAGGGTGTACATACCAAATGAGTGAATCCCCCTACGTTGTCCAAGCACTGTCCCTAGTGCTCCCCGTCATTAGCCTCATCGTGGTAGCCCCCATAACCGCTGCACTCACCGTCATAGCATCCTCCGCTACCGCTTGCTCCACCGAAATTGCCCCAATAAGAGGGGTCATACCATGTAGGATGCTGGACTGGAGTGGGCATGTGGGAAAAATACCCTTGGTGGTCAAAATATGCGTACATAGGGCCGAATACCCGTTTTTTATCGTCTTCCACCCTTTGGTACACATTGTAGAGGTCGTCGATGCGTGTGTTCATAGCCTTTTGGTTAAGATTTAGTTGTTGTATGCCGGCAAGCATTTGTTGTTCAAAGGGGGGTGTATTGAGGGGGTTGGGGATCGGGTTGTGGTTGTTCGGGACTGTGTGGTGGTGGTTCAAGCTGTTCTGGGATTTCTTCAGGGATGATGTAGTGTTCCGGGATTGCTCCGGGGAGGCAAAGGTGTCTTCCATCCCCGAATTGTGTATGAAAGATATTAGTGGGGAGTTCCGTCTCGGTGGGAAGGATGAAGAACCGTTGTGGGGTGGTGTTGATATGCCATTTGTAAAAAAAAATATCCCCAAAGGTGTGAGAAGAGCTTAAATCATGGGCATTTAGGACAAATTGAGTGCCGACAAGACCCCACTCAGCCATTGGTTGCCTCTGAGTATACCCAAATTTGGAACATATATGGAGTACTATACCCCCAATAAACAAATCTCCCGTGGCATCACAACACTCTTTTTCCAAATGTTTCCACATCAATGAGGCAATATCCAGTTTAGGTGCTTCTATCAAAGCAGCCATAGCAAGAATGCCCACATCGCTCTTTCTAGTTTGATGGTTATTTGGTCTACCGACTTATGTGATTAAAAACTAACAAAATTGATCAAAACTATTAATATAAGTCATTCATATTGAAATTTCCAAAGCAACAATCAATCAAAACTAATTAAAAATACAAACATAAACATGGAAATTACATGAATGTCAAACGACTTATGTATTTTACTTAATTGAGATGAAGACTTGGCTTTGCTTTTATCCACTTAGTGGAATGTTCGTCGATCTCGGTTATATCTTTAACCATCTTCCTCTCGAATACTCAATCGAGGAGTATCTCCATTTCATCGAGGGTAGTTATTAATAATGAGACGCGTTCATTAATAAAATTTACTACCGAGTTAATATAGAACACGCGTCGTATATTAACCTGATACTTGCAATAAACTTAAGATGAAAACGATTGAGATTGATAACCTCAACACAAGCGGTTTATTGGTTTAATCAATATAATTAATTACAGAATAATGAATTCGTCAATGCTGAGCCTGTTATAATTGAAGGAACTAGAGCAGTTGATGATTATCATGTATTAAAAATTATGCAAAGAGAGCAATTTGATCATGTAATTGCTGCAAAGGGGTACTCTTCTGATGGGGATTCTTGTCTCTTAGATAATGCTCAGAAATGGAAGGATGGACAAGCAGAATTAACCAAAAGAGTAGACTTAATTCTTAAGAAGTCTGTTCATCTCAATCAGGGGATGCAATCACTTCACACAACATACAAAGATGATGATGGGTTCATCAAAGTTGCAAGAAAGAAGAAAAAACAACCCTTACAGGTTGTTTCAGTTACACCCAGGGTTACCAGGAACACAACTAAGAAGTTGTCGCACACTTTCCCCTCCCTCCCTTAATGAATTATCTCGTTTGGAACGTCTGTGGCCTTGTTTCTTCCTGTCCAAGGTTACGAGATCTTATTAGACAGTGGAGAATTCATTTACTTGTTGTTATTAAGCCTATTATTGACTCTTCTAAAATTCTTTCTGTTTCTTTGGAAATTGGTATGAATAAATTTTACTGCTGCCCAGACAACAAAATTTGGTTATTCTGGGATGATTCATATATTACTATTTCTGATATTACTTATGCCAAGAAATTTATACACATGAAGCTTACTCTTGGGTCCATGTTTTTCTGGTTTACTGCCATTTATGGTGTTCATACATACCTGGAAGGAAGAGATCTTTGGGCTTTTCTTAATTCTTGGGCTGCACAAAACAAGGATCCTTGGATGTTAGGCGGAGATTTCAATGCTATTGCTTCTAATCCCTTTCTTTTATAAGCATGAATATTGTTAGGGGTTTAATGGTCATGAAAAATTTGTTCGTGTCTCTTGATGCATTGGTCGATTGTACTCTATGCATATTTAGTCAAGCATATTGAGGTTATGGCAGACTAAAAGGAGACGGCGATCAGCTATGCCGTTAAACCCCGAGTATGACTTCTGCAACTTCACACGGGTTTGGGATAAACAAATACAGAGTACTACATAACTGCACAATTAAACCTTCCTTTCCCTCTCGCCCTGATTCTGTCCGACCCTTCCTCTACTTCTTTTTCATTCACGGTCTTGCGCCTCAGCCATGGCCCATGGTTGTCAAACGGTTATTTCCTTTGGATACTGTCATCGATTATACGCCTAATGAGATTTGGCACCTGGTATTGAACAAATTTTAGATTTCTTCGCATCCTTTTGTAAGTTCATTATTCTCTCCTTAATTATGTTGCTTCTTTTATCTGTTTTCTGTTTTTCAATTTAAACTGCTATGTGTTTATGTTCCTTTATCATCCAAGCTTGCCATCCTTTCTCCTGTATTTCTTCACATCAGTGTGCTTATATTATTTGTTCATAGTTTGTATCTCTTTATTTTACTTTGCTTGCTATGTGTTTGGTGAAATGTTCAAATGAAATCCTCTACTAACTAGCTGTCTTTTACTTACAGTTGAAGGTTGTTTTGTTTGATTTTTCCTCTCCTTTTGGTTTGCTTACATGTGCTTTAATGTGCACCTGGATTACATATGAAGTTGTAATCCTCCATCCTTTGAGACTATAGAGGAAGCTGGACAGAATCCAAAGACATTTTGTGCTAGCAATAAAGAAGAGATGCTTTGTTTCGGAGGAGGACGAGCCCTTATATCCGACACGATTGATGATAGTGTTCAGCTCAAGCAGTCTTTTAGGTATTATAATATAGAAGATAGTATATGTTATTGTTTTTTTGAAATCGTATTTAACCTATCAGCAAGCCTCATGGTACTATCTCCTTCCCCAAACAACCTTGTTTCATGAAGGTACATCTTTTTTGGTTTTGTTTAGGACAATTCTTGTAAATCATTTAAATTCTTATTTGTTTGTTAAGAAAAAACATACTGAACTTCTTTGAATACCTTTTTGTTCAATGATAATAATCACAATTACATAAGTTCAATAAACTTTTATGAAGTTTTGGAATAATATTTTGTTGGGACGAAGGTAAAAATTGGATTGTTTTGTTAATCTCTCACTATGTTTATAGGTGGTACACGTCCATGGCTGGATGAAAAGCCAACATGAAGGTTCTGATATCAAAGGTTTGGGAGGTTGAAGTGACTTTTGTGATGACGACCGAGTTTGGTCATTTGTCCCCCGACCAAGAAGCTAATACCTCACAACATTGTTGAAAAGAGTATTACGTTTTTCTTGCTTGAGGTAATTTTTTTCCAACTTCTGCATTGTTCTTAAGTATTTTGTCGTTGCGTATCTATCTCTCTGTATATGACCAGTTTTCTATAACTTTACGGATAAAAAATCTCATATACTTGATAGTTTATTCATGTTTCAGGGACTTCAATCTGGTGTAAGTGCCTTCAATTTGTTGAAATTAGTAGAGTCATTTTTCTATACCAATGGTGCATCATGTAACCTAAATGCCGCCTCATTTAACGTTGATGTATGCTTCGATATTTTTCTTTGAGGTCATCAATTAGTCATATACTTCTTCTAGCTAAATCACAAACTTTGTAATTAATAGATCATGTATTCCAAGGAACATCCTGATAATCGAATTTTTCTTTGAGCCCATTGAGACGCAGGCGGAGACCATGTTAACCAAATCAATGACCTGCACTTCTGTGTTTCAGTAATTCTGCTTGCAACCTTTAATAAAAACATGAGCCTTCATTAGTGTGTACTGTGTAGTTGCTTATGTATTCCATCCTTCCAGGTGTTTCAACAAATACTAGGGACACTTTTAGTGAAAGGATCTTTGCAGAAGCAAAATACGATCAAGCATAGGTTTCTACTTCCACAATCCTATTTCAAACAGCCTTTTAGTCTTACAAAAATCATCACACAATTACATATGATAAATTTAGTTTGACAACATATTTTTGAGAAGAAGTTGGTTTTCTTGACTGTCGAAACAGTCGGCCAGTTTGTCCAATTGTGCTTAAGAAAATTTCAGAGGTTAGAGCTTCATTTTCTTGACTTGAAGTACAATGATGTTTTCTTATGAGAATTGAATAGATCGGAAAATACACCATAATACCATATAGCTGTTCCAAAGGGTCATGGCTTAACTTAGCTATGTTCCTTCTTTACTTCCTTGATTTAAGAAGTCAAAGATTGGTAAATTTCAATCTTCTAACTTGGTCCTAAATTGATGACTTTTAGTTGCTTCTGATCTATTTTAATGAGTTTGGACTGCTACTACTTTATTTGCTTTCTATGAATATTCTTCAAGAAAACGTGAAGAAGGTAACAAATAAGTTCTTTTACATACTTTTTTGATATGTTTATTAATTGTCTTCTGACTTTCAAGTTTGTTTCTTATTGAATAATTGGGAAAAAGGGTCAAATAAGTCCTACTTCGTAAAACGTATTAAAAACGTATCGTACAAGTATTCTTACTTTAAAAAGTTGATCAATTTGGTAATTTTGACTTGTAAATTTGTAATAGAAGGTTTTTTATATTAAAAATCTTTAAAAGATTGTTAAAATTTGAAGAAATATAGATAAAAATTGTGAAAAAAAAATCAGAATGTCAAAGTCGACTTTTTAAAATTTTAAAACTAATTTTATATTCTATATCTCTTTAAAATTTTCCATATTTTATATTTTCTATTTTTACATTTTTACTTTATTTTTTTAGTTTTCTGATTTTATATTTTATTATTTTTATGCTATTTTATATTTATTATTACATTATTTTAATCAGAATGTTAAATTGTTTATTTATTTTTATATTTATGCTATTTTATATTTATTATTACATTATTTTTCAAAATTATATGATTTTTATAAGATTTATCAATAGTCGTGATCATTTAAAACAAATGACCACTATAGGTAGTCAAAATGGCTTGATGATTGTATTTAACATGTTAAAGTTTAAAATAGTAGTCTTTTATTTGCTTATTTTATTAGATAAAATCATATTCACGCCCACCAAACTACTATACACACATGTGGCTCACTCAAATATCAAATTGCCAATATAAATATCTATATGTTTTAACCCAATGAATTTCAACTTAAAGAATAAAAAGTGGGAAATTTTGTCTCAATTAATTTTGAAATATGTCTTCTTTCAATACTTATACTTATGTCACTATATGTAAAGTAGATGGGTATGTTATTGAAAATTAAGTTTCCTATTAATTTGAATTTTACATTTTCAAGTTGTGTAGCTCATCCATATCACCTATTTTGTTCTACTTTTATGTTTTAGGCTGGAGCAATGGTGGACCCAGGCATCAGAGCTTAGGGTATGCACATATATAGTACGTAGCGGTTTAAAAAAATTACAACACTACACTACACCGACAACACAACCCAACTTAATTATTATTACACCACGACTTTTCCTCCTCCATCTCATAAAACTTTATCATATTTGAATCTTTTGGTTAATGAAATTAAACTTTGACCTCTATATATTTTTATTAGAAATTATTTATAATATAAAAATAATTATATTATAAAAGTATATGTAGAAAAACATTATACTCCGTACATCAAGATGTATAAACAATACAAAAGATATCTAAATGATGGATTATAGTAGTGAAAAATGAAATTTAAAAAATCCTAAATGATTCGTATTCACTTTGTGATTCAATAAAGTGAAAAATAATATGGAGAAAAACACATGCAAATTTGCTAAAAAATACTGATGTAGAGAAAAAAGACGACTCATGCCCAATTACTTAAAAATAGCTTAAAAGGCTGAAATTGGTTGGAGGACAAAGCAAGAGGCCGAGATGGGAGGCTCAATGCTCTGCTGGATTTTAGAAGGATTCAAAATTAAATTCAAATATTTGAGCTTAACTGGGCCTACATGTAAGAATTAAGGGTGTTAAGAAAATCAAATGATGCACCTTTTGAGGTGTAGCCTGTGCTAACCCACGATATAGTATAGGTCCACCCCTGGCTGGAGTAATTGTTCATGTTTTGAACTAAGCGTTTTCCGCCTTAGAGGTAGGGTTGCCATTTTTACCATATTATCCATTTATACCTATGTATTTATATATGTATTTATATGTTTATTGTTTTTGTTGTTTTCCTCTCATTTTGTTTCCTCTTTTTGGGTGAACCAATCTATCTGGGGTTTTATGTGGGATTTCTACTTAGACATTTACACCGGTTGTATTAAGCGATTTAACAAGAAAAGAAGTACCTCTATATGATATTGATATTTGATTTTTCTAAATATATGTTCTAAATGGATGGTGGTGGCACCATAGAAGGTTTGTTTGTTATCTAATCTTGAAGTACCAATTGCATCATCCTCATCACAACGAATGCGATGACATTGGGTTTTTCATTTTGCAGAAACCTTTTTTAGGCAACAAACTAAAAAAGATTCACGATATATATTTTATTCATTAGGTTTCTTTATCAATTTCTAACATATTATGCATTCGAATAGTGTATTCGTATTACCCATATATTCACTCAACCTAACCTGATGAGTGAATATGCATATAATAGTCTTGGGCATTAACACGAACGTGCATCGCGCGTTACCAAACTAGTCATGAACGTAAAGGAAGAGTTTCTCCTCATCTTACCAGTATGACGGATTTTAAGGACTGCATCTTGGGAAGTAATCTGGTAGACATTCCTCCTCATGGTAGCTCCTTTACCCGGTTAGGTGTTAGGGCTAATGGTAGAGCTTGGCGAAGACTGGATAGAATGTTATTTAGCACCTCCTTTCTCAGTTTGTTTGATAGTGTTCAAATTAACCATTTGAATAAAGCATCATCGGATCACAACCCAGTTTTACTTCAATGTAAAAATCTCCTTATGGGTGGTCCAAGAGCTTTCAGGTTTCAAAATATGTGGGCCAAGCATCCTAAATTTTTGTAGGAAGTTAAATCTTTTTGGGAATCTTGTGACTATGGTTCTGGTGGTATGAGGGGATTTTATGACAAGCTCAAAGCTTTGAAACTCTTTCTTAGAGAGTGGAACAATAAAACCTTTGGGAATATTTTTGAGGATGTTAAAAAGATGGAAGAAGAGGTTTTAAAAGCTGAAATTCTTTTTGAATCTGATCCATCAGAAGAGAATAGGACGATTGGTCCTAGCAAGCTGTTTTATTATCCAAACATAAACAAGAGAGAGCTTTTTGGAAACAAAAAGCGCATATTAAAGTGTTATCTGAGGGTGATTCTAATACCCAATTTTACCATTCTTTTGTTAACATTCGAAGGAAAATGCAGCAGATTACATACCTCAAAAACTCTGAGGGTAACATGATCACTGACCCGGATGACATTGCCAAAGCTGCTGAATCTTATTTCATTAACATATTCTCTAAAGAACCTGTACAAGATGTAGATGAACTTCTTCAATTTGTTCCCTGTCTGGTTACAGAAGCTGATAACTATTTGCTCCTTCAAATTCCCACTTATGAGGAAGTAAAGAAGGCTGTATGGGAATTGAACAAAAATGGAGCTGCTGGTCCGGATGGATTTAATGGTATGTTCTATAGAAAATGCTGGAATATTGTGGGAGGTGTTGAGATTATTTTATGGTGTCCAATCTAGCTAAATATCTTTGTATTTGTGTAGTTATTAATTAAATGTGTAATATGGGCCACAAATGTATATCAGCCTGTTAGCTTCTTTGTAACCCATAAGTTAGTCATCTTCTCCTATAAAAGGAGGCTAACTTACGGGAAACCTAACGATCGATGCTTTAGAGAATAGAGGCGCAGAGATAGAGAGATTAGGGTTTGCCGCTGCTCTCCTTCTCGAGGGAGAGCAGCGGCCATTATCACGGTATACCAGATTCATTGAATATCTCATATCTTTCTATCTGCTTCTTCTTCTTTATCTGCTATGATTGTGTGATTGTTAGTATACTGGGTCTATCAATTGGTATCAGAGTTGAGGCGTGAAACAAGTTGAATCTATCTGCGATTTTTTTATCTAACGAAGAACTGCTCTGCTTTTCTTCTCTTTTTCTTCAATATAGACTTTTGCTCCTATAATCTTGTTTGTGAACGAAAATCTGTAAAAATTATACTGTTGGAATCGCCTCTTCAAAACGATTGTACAGCATATCTTTGTTTTCGATTTCTGCAAATTTTCAATTTCGAAGAACTCTACATGAAATATCGAGTTTATACTTTTACATGGCTGCAGAAATGTTTTTGACTTGAAACAAATACAGGAGGAATCTCGACCTTCAGGGCTATTCAGAATAGTTTTCAGATTTTCAAAATTCGAAGTTTTCATTTTGCAGGAACTCGACATTTAGGCTCTCGAATTCCTAGACTCGACATTTTGAAATTTCGAGTTTTGAAAATTTGAATTTTTAAATTTTGAGTTTTGAAATTTCGAGTTTTGAAATTTCGAGTTTTGAAATTTCGAGTTCTCAAATTTGGAGTTTTAAAATTTCGAGTTTTGAAACTTCGAGTTTTGAAACTTCGAGTTTTGAAATATCGAGTTTTGAAATTTTGAGTTTTGAAACTTCGAGTTTTGAAACTTCGAGTTTTGAAACTCCGAGTTTTGAAATTCCGAGTTTTGAAATTCCGAGTTTTGAAATTTCGAGTTTTGAAATTTCGAGTTTTGAAATTTCGAGTTTTGAAATTTCGAGTTTTGAAATTTCGAGTTTTGAAATTTCGAGTTTTGAAATTTCGAGTTTTGAAATTTGGAGTTATGAAATTTCGAGTTTTGAAACTTCGAGTTTTGAAACTTCGAGTTTTGAAATATCGAGTTTTGAAATATCGAGTTTTGAAATTTCGAGTTTTGAAATTTTGAGTTTTGAAATTTCGAGTTTTGAAATTTCGAGTTTTGAAATTTCGAGTTTTGGAATTTCGAGTTTTGGAATTTCGAGTTTTGGCAACTAGATGTTTAGGATTTCGACATTCTGAAAGATTTCGAGATTTATGGAATTTCTCGATGTTTTGAATATTTCAAAGTTTGCAGTTTCTTGAAACTCAGAATTGTTCGAAACTTGAAATTCTTCACAGTAATCGAAGCTTTACATTATAGGATATCTGAATGAATCTCTGCTTATCAAAGTTTTAAGAAGTTTTCGATGTTCTGATGTTTTTCAAACATCAAGTTTTCGATATTATGAGGTTTTCGAAACTCTAAAGTTTTCGATGTTCCAAACAACTTGAAATTCTGAAGATTTCGATGTCTCGGGGCCTGTTTTGCAGGTGGATTTCGCCATTATTCTTCGAGGCAAACTCGAGATTACAATCTCAAGATTTTAACTCGAGATTAGGATTTCGAGTTATTGCCTTAGAATTTTCCTTAATCCCACCTGTTCTCGATATTCAACATCGAGAACCTCAACTTCGAAGAAATTTCTCAAAAACTCAAAATTTCAAAATTTTCTGCGACACCACACTGTTTTGGCCATAACTTTTGACTCGGTGATCCGATTTCAGCGAACTTTTTTTTGTTGGAAAGCTAACGAAAAAATCTACATGAATGTTTGGGGTTTACCTCAGAACCGTTTTTCACGCGCGCTCACGCGCAGTCCTTGAGGGTCAAAACGTTTGTTTTCCGACAAACTTTGTAAATCACCGATGTCAAGGTCAAAACTCAGGCAAATCTGATCAAATTCTTTCAAAGTCAAGCCCAAGGTCAAAGATTTTCTAAACTACACTGTACAGGTCCGAAAATCGTAGATAATTCAATCAACCTCGTGTCAACGGTCATCTTACAACAATCAACAATCAACTACGTACTAAAGCCTCCCCTAACTCATCAACATTGTGTGATCCTCAAACGTGCTGAAATTCCAAATGATGAGCTAAGGGAAACCGTCACGTGTGGTACCTGTTCAGATTGCTCCACACACATGGCGGGTATGACAAGCTGTGAGCAATCAAACCTTGCACATTCTGAGGGGCAGTTTCAGTTTTCTCCTCCTGGCGCCTTACACCGACAAAGCAAGGAATCTCTAAAAGGATGCAACATTTTTGGGGGGAGTGTTCAATGTTATCCTCCCCGGTGCCTAACAATGACAAAGCATATTGAGTGCTCCAGTTGAGGGAGTACAGAAAGAAAATCAAGAAAGTAATCAGAGAACATGTCCCTATGGTTTAGTAAACCCAACTAAGCTTATCCAAAGGACAAAGCCGTGCGTAAGTGAGTGAATGAGCGAGTGAGTCAGTGAACATTTTGAGGATTTGGAAGCAGAAGGCTCAAGTGAGCAAGGAAATAATAATCAATGATAAGTCTACTACCTCAGCTGCCTGCTATCAATTGAACATTTACTCCTAACCACTCAAATACTTTGGACAATCCCCATAGGTTCAGGACTGATTTAATCAGATCCCGGGTAGAAGTCACTGCATCTTGTCCCACGGTGCATGCTTAACCCTACCCAAGAGGCCAAGATCACTCACTTTTCTCCCAACAGACAGGTGTTTAATCAAATTTCACGGGGAACCGTGACTCTCATTACTATCTCCTTCTGAGGCAAGTGATACTGACTACAGTGGCCTCAGCCCTATGCCACTGAACTTTCATTGATCACGTCGTGTCTAGTAACATCACTCCCAAATGTTTTGAAATTTCTAGGACACAGATGCACTTTTAGAGTCAGTTGCAAGGTCTTCATGACCCGCGAGAACTTCCATATGGCTCATCTATTACAGATGTAGACCAATGATTGGATGGAAGTCGTGCTGTTGCAACATAAGAATCACCAACATTTTCAGGTCATTGCTTTAGAGTTTATCTCTATAGTGATGATAACGAGTGTCTGCATGACCTCGAGGGGATACAAGTTCTTAATGCTAATCTTTATGATTTTGCCATAACAACCAGAGTGACATCTATTCGGATGTTTCACAATGACTGGTTGGAAGTTCAGTTAAAGCTGTAATGCTTCTATCATTTTATACAGGCCACACATCAGTGTTTACATTGATGATTGTGATAACGGAACACCATGGTGTCTCTGGTGTTTACTTTTCTGTTTGTTTTTCAGTTCGAACAAAAGAATAAAGGCATGATGCCCCGAGTCATCGGATCGTCATGAGGGGGAGAGTGGTCCACATGCTGTTAAATGTCAACAAATCATTCTGGGACACTTCTCTCCTCCAACACTCTCTCTACTATCTCCGCAACTCAAATGGTCAACTACGCTCACAAGTTAACCATCATTATGTTCCGCTGTGCCACCGACAAGTTCTCCTCAAATGCATTCATTCCAAATAGTTTAAAAGACTACATTATGGAGGAGACAGAGGTCAAATACTTTTGCACTGAAGATGAATCATGTGCGCCCCTGATAATCATCAGAACATTCATTCTAGAGGCATCACCAGACTTCATCCAAGCTGATCAAGAGCAACTTCTGGAAGGCAAAGATTAGAAGAAAAAGATTCCTCAAACCCTGACATCAAAGATCAAATTGCCAAGAAAACATCAAAGGGGAGATTGCGAGGATTTCTTCATAAAGCCTTCTCAAGAAATCAAGTTCAAAGACAAAGGAAGCTCAATAACAATAAAGACAAAGATATCTGTGCTGCAATGCTGATTCAACACGATTGAACACCAAGGGGGAGATTGTTGAGAATATTTTATGGTGTCTAATCTAGTTAAATATCTTTGTATTTGTGTAGTTATTAAGCTTCCTTTGTCTTTGAACTTGACTTCTTGAGAAGGCCTTATGAAGAAATCCTCGCAATCTCCCATTTGATGTTTTCTTGGCAATTTGATCTTTGATGTCGGGGTTTGAGGAATCTTTTTCTTGTAATACTTGCCTTCCAGAAGTTGCTCTTGATCAGTTTGGATGAAGTCTGGTGACGCCTCTAGAATGAATGTTCTGATGATTATCAGCGGCGCACGGGATTCATCTTCAATACATGAGTATTTGACCTTTGTCTCCTTCATAATGTAATCTTTATGACTATTTGGAATGAATGCATTTGAGGAGAACTTGTCGGTGGCACAGCGGAACATAATGATGGTTAACTTGTGAGCGTAGCTGACCATTTGAGTTGCGGAGATAGTAGAGAGAGTGTCGGAGGAGAAAAGTGTCCCAGAATGATTTGTTGACAGTTAACAGCATGTGGACCAACATTTGGACCAGTTAAATATTTTATGGTGTGCAATCTAGTTAAATATCTTTGTATTTGTGTAGTTATTAATTAAATGTGTAACATGGGCCACAAATGTATATCAGCCCGTTTGCTTCTTTGTAACCCATAAGTTAGCCATCCTCTCCTATAAAAGGAGGTTAACTTACGGGAAACCTAACGATCGAGGCTTTAGAGAATAGAGGCGCAGATATAGAGAGATTAGGGTTTGCCGCTGCTCTCCTTCTCGCGGGAGAGCAGCGGCCATTATCAC